TACACATTCTCCAGTGTAAAGAGGCTAGGTAAAGTTCTAAACTTAGTTACAGCACTATAACAAAGAGTATATCTGAAATTTTGTAGTGGACTGTGCCACCTTATGCAGCCAACAGGCACAAAGTTTAAAAGTGAATTCATTGTTCTCAAGCAGCTCACTTTCTATCACCCAGAAATTCAAAGCTCTGGTACAGATGCAGGATGGCAGAGGTAAGGCATCCAGAAGGGAGAGATACAAAGAGACGAAACCAAATTCTTTTGAAGCCACAGAGACTGGTACTGAAGAACAGCTTTGCCAGTGCCATGAACACAGAGTCTCATGCCATCTAGACTGACTTTCAGCCATGCACACATGCCTTACGGACATGACCACTGTCTTCTCATCAGGGGACATTGGTCATGAGCTTTGGAGAGACTCCAAATTTTTTCATCCCACTGTATTTGTTTTATTTTGGCAGAGAAACTAAAAATAGAAAGGACCAAACCTGCAAGAAAGAGCAATACTCATTTAACACGTGTTGTGGCTGAGGAGGAATTTGATAATTTACAATGGCATTTTCTAAAATCTGTTGCCAGGCTTCCATAATTATTGCAAGTTTGTCCGTGGTCTCCATAGCAGCCTTTCCTGAGTTTCAAGGCCTGTGTGGTGACTCACAGAGGTTCAGTGAGGCACTCAACTCCTTTCCAAGGGAGTCTGAGTAACAGGATGCCAAACCTGGACTGGTTTCCTGTAATACAGAGGTTTCCAAAGTACAGTAGACACACTGCTCATGGTACACAAGCCACCTCAGTTTGGTGCTCCAACACCTCCCAGACATTGCTGCCAGGTGCATGAGGGTAAGCAGGAGACATTGCTGCTGCCACTGGCAATGGTGGTACCCAAACAAAAATATTTGGAAAATTCTGCTTTAGCAAGTTGCTGGGCTCACACTAATTCTGTCCCTGAATTCCTCAGAAGGGTAGAAACAGTTTGCACAGCAATAAAAGAGCTGAGCATAGCCTTCACCCTGAGCCCTGGAATAGTTTCCTGACCTCAGTAGTGGTGCTGCTGTGGGCACAGACTGTTACAGCAGCCGCACTGTGACCCTGCAGCAGGAGAGGTCCCTTACAGCACTGTCACCCCTGAGCATCCACTCCAGACTGATACAGGTGCCACCTCAGCAACAAGCCTGAGCTTTGCAACAGATCTTGGAAGAAAGGAGGTCAGAAATGAAACTTGTCTTCCCAGCCGACTGCCCTAACCACACGGTCACAGATTTAGGCTTTCTCTTATATTCCTTTTTGTCTTCTGATCCCCATGAATCTCATTTTCCTGGAAAAGTGGGTGCCCTCCCAGGCAGCAGAGGGGTAGTTCCTCCCATCTTGCCAAGCCCAGTTTATAACCTTGTATTTAAAGAGATAATTTTGTACTTCAGGTCTCCTCAGACTAAGGAGAGGAAGAAGCCCAGGCCACCCACTTGCCGGATGAGACGGGGCAGCCTCTGGGAGGTGCCGTTAGCAGACAGCTATTGTGCACTGGGCTGGACACAGTGGTTTAGTGGATGCATTTAGAAGTGATTTGCCAGAGCAGGACCATCTGAAATACAAGTAGTTAGACACTGCTTCATTTCCTTAAAAGGCAGTGGATCCTGAGGTAAATAAGAACAAGAAACCTGTGACACATTAGTCGAATGAATTAACTATCTTGCTATTACTGATGGGAGCAGCTGGCAACATAAATCTGTACCACCCAAATACCTCTGAAGGCACAACTCCACATGCTTTTTTTTTTAACAGCAAAGCTAGTAATTAAAGGGTGGCTATAGAGAAGACTGCAACTCCCTTTCTATAAGGAGTCACATGGACAAGATGAGGGGTGATGGGCACAAGTTACTCCAGAGGAGATTCTGACTGGACACAAGAGGAAATTTTTCACAAAGAGAGCAAACAGCCTTTGGAATTATCTCACCAGGGAAGTGGTGGATTCCCCAGTGCTAGACAGGCTGCTGGGACATCTAGTCTAGGTCACGCTTTGCCTAGGAAGTTGGACCAAATGATCCCTGAAGTCCATTCCAACCTGGTGGTTTATGATTCACTCTGTCAACCCTGAAACAATCTTCAATGTCTGTGAAGGCTCCTATCACACACACACACACACCTTCCTCAGTTGTCCTTTCCTTGCCCTAAGAAAAATATCATTACTTAGGAGATAGAGACTGGTCAGCACCTTCACTGTAATAATTGGACACCAACTACAGCCCACAGCATCTCCTGGTGCCTTCCCTGGGAAGGCCTGGTGACACATCCAGACTGATGACCTTCAGTCTGCCCCTCCACTGTCTTTATTTTTTACGTGCAAGAAGGCCAGACTATGAAGCAGCTGACATTAAGCAGTTACATTGAATAATGCTGATGCTGACAGTCATGTCATGACAATGTTGCTATGGCACGTTCCGGTTTCACCTACTAAGAACGCTCACTGGAGCTCCAATACCATACATCAACTGAAACAAAATATTTTACATCCAGATAGACTGGATGTAAAAGCTGTAGGGCTGGTTTTTTTTCCCCAGAATTATGAGTTTGGCGGTGGCCACAGCATGCTCCTTGGCACTCATTTGGCTTTGAAAACAGAACTCAGTATCTGCCATCCTGGGGTGTTGCCAGCTACTGGATACCATAACTAGCATCAGCAGTCATTCAGTGCTCTGCCACCAGCACCACAGATGTTTCTAAAAAAGCAGAGATGAAATAAAAGAAGCAAAACTGTTTACAGTAACATTAAATCAGGGCAGTTCTTTTCCTTGTCAAGTTGACTTGTCAATTTCTGGCAAAGACATATGCCAAAACCCTCTCAGCCAGTACCCTGTCAATGACCTTTCACAGCTTTCACAGCTGCTCTCCCTTCCAAAGTCCTCCCTAGGTCAAACTAGCAATCACCTGCTTGAAGCCTATCCTATTCCATCTTTACCCAAGGATGAGGCGAGCCTGACTCTTAACTGAAACTGGCACTGCTTCACTTTCTGAGGAGGTTAACACCTGTCATTTGCATTCAGGAGACAGTACCAGTTCTAAAAAAAAAAAAAATAAAATAAAATTTAAGAACATCTTCACCTTCTCCTTCTAATGATGGCTTCCAATAATAACCTCAATATTCCAGTTGGAAGAGAAGTTATTTTCAACTCAGAAAGCAGGCATTGATGCAACTCCCTCCCCACCCTTCCAAAATAATGCAAAACAGTGCTCTATATCTGCACCATTGTTTTAACTAGCCAGTAGCATTTGGTACAGAAAGGGTCATGAACAGCATACTAATTCTCATGGTTTTATTGGTCACAGGCAATGTTACGAAGCAGTTACACTGAATAATGTTGTCACAGTTGTATCATAATGTGAGGTTGCTACAAACACATTTGAATTTCACACAGTGAAACTACTTTAGGAAAAAAAAAAAATCATGCTTGTAACAGAAGATGAAGAAAATACATTTGGTTAAAACTAAAAATGGTCCCAGGATTTCAGCCCACTCAAACTGAAGTTAATGGAAAAGCTTCTATTGACTTCCAGCAGTCTTTGAATCCAGCCTCCCAGATCCCCTGACTAAGCTGTAAGGCAAAATGCCTCCCTGCTCAGTCACAGGCTCTTCATTCTTCTAACATACTTGTGCGTGATGTATTTTCTTCTCTTTAAATAAGAGCATAAATGTGTAATTGACTATGCCAAGCTTTACACATAACAGAGCCAATTCTGGCTCATCACCTTTAGGGAGAGTGGAAGAATTACAAAGGTGATAGCATGTGTACTGGAAAAGGAGGGAGTTCCTACACTCCTGAGTGCCTGTAGCAGCTGATTGTGTGGCCTGAAAGCTTCCAAGAAAGCTTATTACATGCTTCTTTAGAATCTACATGTGGCCATGTCTGCATTCAAGATGGGTAACTTACGTGAGCTGGAATTTGGATGATGGTGCATTAAGAACAGCTACAAACACAGCTCTGATCTGGTCATTTGCCACCAACTGACAAGTGAATGGCCTGTGGGCATTTACTGCAGTGATGAGATGTGCCATTAGAGAAGATAATCTTACCAGTCTAATAAGGAAACAATCTTAGGGCAAAAATCACCTTTTCTTGACAAAAATCGGTTTTCAAAACCACAGCTGACAAAATTATGCACCAAATTGAGAAAGATATCTTTGTTCCAAGAAACCAAAATCTTTGCATTAAATTGAAGTTTAATTTGAAGTAATATCACAGAAACATTATAATCGTTTCTGGAAGCTCAGAGATATTCCTGAATTAATGTCTTCTGATTTGCAGGTGACTTGATGCATCCAATGCCTGATTATTCTGAGGATGCACTTACATGCAAACTGTGCATCAAATTCTCCTTAAGTGTTGGAGACACCAGAGGGCAGCAACATACCAAAGCTTCCCAGCTAACACGACTTCGGCTAGGTATCTTTTCTGTGTTGGGGAAGCTCCAGTTACTGGTCTAACTTCAGTATAGTTTCTCAGACCATTATTTTATAAGAACCAAAGCTCAGGATATAATTCATGCTTCAAGGAAAATTGGAGTGAGAGGTGCTCGCTCCTTATATTTCAATGGTCACCAAGTATGTAGTTATTTCCCAGATCTGTATTTGTTAAGCATTCATATTTGGAAGTAGAATATTGATCATAAACCATGTTTTATAAACTTTCCCTTTCGAGTTCATATAAAAGATAACATTTTTGTTCGTGTCTCAGACTATGATGATCAAAGGCTGTTAGCATTTGATAATGGACATGGTTCTACCACATTCAAGTGGGAATGACAGGAGCTGCCATCCTGTGTTTCACACATAGTCCACCAGGAGTCCCTGAGATAGAAATACGGCACCCACTCCTCCCTACTGGCATTTTGGTCAAAAGTTCAATAAATGTTACAGCTTATTTAAAAAAAAGAAAAAAAAAATCATTAATTAAAAACAGTCTATTTACAAATCAGTTGTGAAACAGATAGCAACATTCCATAGGAAAAAATTCAGATCCTTTCAAAAGCTGGTAAATATGTTTTTAACTGTAAAATCTCAGCTACTGGCTGTTTTCTGTCTTGATAGAAGCTGAGTCCAGTAAGTAGTTCTATATCTCTGACCCGAGCTGTATGAAACTTCATTCTCTCTTCAACCCACACAGACGCAGACTTTCCATCCTATGGGGACAGAAGAGGAATAAAAGGGTTTGTAAAACATCTTTTTCTGTGACATGTATTTAATAAATTTGCAAAAGACATTTTATAGAGGCAGAAAGCAGTAACTGTTGGTAAACATTTAACGGAGAGCAATGACTTATAAATAGTTAAAAGCTTGCCAGAGTTTAATACTTGCTATTACTTCCTGAAGTACACAGAGTGCGTAGCTGCACCAGTGGAAGTTGGCGATAATGTGGAATAGCAGGTGATGTCCAGCATCTATGATAAAACTATTTCTGAGCCTGACTTGGGCAGCGAGTTGTGTAATTCTTCGCTGTAGGATAGGTCTAAAGCCTTCCCACGCTTTGTTCTGGTTTGTATGGAGCATAGCTATGTGCACTCCAGTCACGATTTCAAAGTTCTTGAACTAGAAGCAACCAATGCACTTCAGGAACTTCTGCCTTCTCCTTTTGAGCACACATTTGACCTAGCGCTGACCTTCCTTGGTGGATGACTCATCTTCTCCCAGAAGCTCTTCATCCTTCTCAGCTGTTGACTGGATATCTGTGCTACAGAAGTCATTGTGTGCATCACACTAATGGTCTCAAAATAGTCTGACTCTACCCTGCTAGCCCTAAGTTTTACTCTTTGAACAGGGAACATCTATTTTCATATTTGAGTATATATACAGGCTTTAACATACATCTGTTTATAAAAATATTGTCTTCTCTCTCAAGGTGATCATGATAGACTGTCCCACTTTACAGTCTTACTAGTTAATTTCCAAGCTCAAGCCTGACTTCAGAAGTATGTGAGGACTGAATAGATGGCTACTTACTGCACAGCTTTCACTGTTGTCTTCTCTGTGAGGTACAATGAAAGACAAGGCATCTAGAGACCCTTCACACTCCAGAGGAGTTTCAGAAGTATTTTTACAACTAGTCAGCACAATGAAGTAGTGAGTTGGAACTGGAACTTCTGAATTACTGGGGTGTCTGAAACACAAAAGATTGTTCTGTAAATCCACCAAAACATACTTACCCAAAGAACAATAACAGCAAATCAGCTATACTCTGCCATATCAATTTTAGCAATCCACTTTTTTAGTCCAAAGAAAGCTTTGACCTTAGGAAAATTCCAGATTACTATTTCGCAAATTCAGTTTGGCTTGTAGGCTGATCTGAGTAACAGGTTTGATGAGGTGTAACAAACTGATTTATCATAAAAATGCCTTAAGAATCCACAGCACACAGAGAGTTCAGTCAGAGTCCAGAAAACCAGCTGCCTGCTGGCTTGAACCAATTTTGCTAACTAGTTTATTTGTATTCACAGCTTTGTAGTGGAACACTGCCAGGTCAGGAAGTGCCAATTGTGCCACCAGGGATAAGCCCATGCCTTGTCTGCTCCTAGAGTCAATATCGTAAGATTTCAGGCTAGCAGACGTTCTTCACATGCAACAGCTTCTCTTACACTTCACCTTCAGAGTTTAGGATGACACATTTTGAGGGTGCATTTTCTCTATGTGCTTGCAGCTTATTTCTTAGCTTTACACTTCTGTACCTGCTTAGGGCCATTTGACTGTCTCCCTGAACTCATATAACCTACCAAGGGCTCATGTCCACAAGATGCTTTCCTTGATAACAAATATCATAATTACTTTTTGACCACTAATGGGAGAAAGAAACAAAGGATTAGAATGTGGAAAGGTTCCCACCTTTTCACCTTTTCTGGAGTATCATAGAGCCCATCAGAGTCATAATCAAACACAGGACCGCTGACTACATTGATACCATTCCTGGCTGCAGCATATTCAGGTAGCAGGTACTGATGAAAGTAGTTCCATAACACTGAAACACAGTAATGGAAGTGGGAAACACATCCGAGGTAGAATCTGTTAATACAACTGTACAGATTTTTCAGGATTATAAACAGACATGATAAGCTAGGAAAATAATAAGGTATATGGGTGATTATATTTCTTAAAGGTTGCATCTAACTGAGCAGCAGCATGCATTGCAGTATCTCCTACCATCATGGTTTCACAGCCACCCTAACCACAAACCAATTGAGGCATAGTGATGCTGCTCCATTGTGTCCTTGGGTTTCTGTCCTTGGAAAGCAAATCACAGAGCAGCTAGAGGAGGGAAGGCAACCTGTGTCTTGCCACACTATCAAATTGGCCTGGTTACCTTTGTCATCCACACCTATGAGCTGGGAATTATCCTACCAATATGATACTTTTAATTACAGTTAAGGGTTGACCTCCACTCCTTTACAAAACAGGACATCTCTTTGTCCAGAGGAAATGCTACAGTCATCCTTCTTTTTCACTAGGAATATGCTTAGTTGCCCTCACGCAAGAAATCCAGGTCTTCATATTTTTTCTGAGACATTATTATTTTCCTGTTTCCTTAGTAACTGAGGCCCTATATTCTTGCCTGAAAGCTCATCTGAGTTTAGAAGACATCCCTGAACTGGAAATTAATTTAACTCACATAATTATATATGGTATCTGGGTTCTCTAGAAGATATTCAGTATAAAATCCCATTTAGGTAGGTGGGAAAATGCAAACTAAGATGCCGGACATTAAATGTCTTGCACTATACTCCCATGTAATGAGCCAGTTGATTAGGAACCATAAGCTCACAGTTGTGGACCTTTTTCACAAGAGTGATAATACTACTTCAGGAAACTTTTCATTGAGGTAAGAAGCCCACAGTTGAGGGAGATCTTATTTTACAAGAGATAGCTGAAGCAGGAATCATTTGCATGGTTTGGAAGCAAGACAAAAACAAATACAGTAGTCTTTCTTATATTCAACTGTGCATACAAAATATGCATACAAATAAATACCTTTAAATGCAGGATACATTGGCACAATGTTGCTGGTAAGCAAGGCATCATACTGATGTTTCTTTCCACCTATCATGAAATCTAAAACAAAAAAAGCAATTAATTAGTTGGATTTGTTACTTCGAACTTTTATTTTCGAAAGACTGGTGTAATAACATGTAAGTGGAGCTGACCTAACTTCACTTTCCAAAGCTGATGTGGGTCTAAGTGCTAACTTCAGCACATGCTGGATCCCATCCGAAATAAACAATCTTAGCAGCAGCAGCAACTGCTCTTGTCAGATGTACATTGGACAAGTTTTTGTGAGATTTAAAAATATCAGAACAGACTTTTCAGTTGTGAGGAAGGGAGTAAAATTCACTTCATGAGCGTCAGACCAATTTGCTCTGACCGCTAAATCTAGGCATAAAAATAGGAGCTCTATTGGAGCTTTGCAAATTACACTTGATGTGGATGTTTAAATAACCTACTACTCAGTACTTTATGCAGTAAAGTCAATGTAAAATGCTTCTAAATCACATCAGCAACAGTTCACAAACAATATAACCACTTCAAAACAGCTAAGTATTTTGTAACATGTTTGAGAATCAGAGCTATGTTCTTCAGATCAATGCTGAATTGCTTCACTAAAGACCATATATGGCACACAACAGTATATTTCAAATATAAAATAAACTTATCAAGGCAGGTTTTTTACCAAGTGAAACATCCTTAAATTTTACATTGGATGTTTCCAAGTAATACCCCTCACACAAAGTGAATTTGCAATTTACTAGCTTGCCAGACTTGACTCAAGGTTTAGATGTTCCTTCCAGTTTCTTCTATGAGGTGCCACTTTAGAAACCTGGTAAATTCCAAAGCTTTTGGAAAGTACTAAGTGACCTTGGACAACCCACCAACTGCTGAAGTGCCTAAAAAGTTTTTCTTTCTCATGTGCTGAAGTGAACTGCAACAACTCAGCAACTACTACTTCATACTCTGATTAGTTATTGAGAATACCTATAAAGGACTATACCTACTACATTGCAAATCATTTAAATCAAATATGCAGTACAATGAAGGCAACATACATACTTGGAGGAGAAAGGAATCCATAAGTTAGGCGAGGATGATTGTTATAAAACCAACATGTCTGGTTATGATTAAAAGAAATACGAACATCCTTGTGTAAACAGCTGGAGGCATTTTCTATATCAGAAACCCATTTGTCCTATTGGCGAGAAGAAAGTATCATCAGTAAAACAGATAGTTAACATACAATAATTCTCTTCGGTGTAGGGGACTGAAGAACTCAATATTTAGCTGCAACTGCCTTTAATGACGTGAAGGCACTTAACTAAGATGCAAGAAATGTTCCTCTTTTGTCAGTGGAAAATGAGCTCTCCCATCTATTTCATATATTTTGGAAACAATGTGAACTGCAGCATTTTATTCTAGTTGAAAGTAACATCTTCCAAAAGAGAACCTAGAGGTGCCCATTAAAGATAACCTGATATACTGTAAAGGTACTTGTCTGTTCAGACTAGCAAAGGCAGCAAGATGTGTTAGCAATCTCTCTCCACTTGGCCACTTGTTCAGATTAACTGGTTGCTTCATGCCACTAACCTCAAAGTGTTTAGGATCAAGCAAAGGATCCTGCCACATTACAAACATTTCTTTAAGACCATGAAACTGGTGTTGAGACCAGGCTTTAAGGACGGCACTGGCAGACTGCTATGGCAGACCTACACTGCCAATCAGTAAGCCAGTGCAGACTCATAGGGCTTCTATATCAATGACAATGGGCTCCTCACTTTCTGGTGGATCTGCTTGTTCTGAAGGCAAAGCTGCATCTCACTCCAAGAAGCACTAAAGAGTCGTATTAATATAGGACAGTGAAGAAAAGTTCACACACAATTCCTCTTTTCATCACACATGGTTCTATTTAGTCCCTTGGAAGATAGTATTGTGAGCAGATCTAAGAAGCATTCAGGAATAACTTACATCTTTGTTAACAGAGTACGCACTCCACAGAGACATCCTGTAGTCCTTACTGTATGCACTCACATAGCGGTAATGGTGAAGAAGGCAGTAATTATGGCTCTTCTGCAGAACCCTGGGCCGTCCATAGGGCAAAGTAAGTTCCTCTGTCTTCTTAACTGTGGCAGAAATAGTGCTTTTTAACATTTCAGTCAATATTGGTTATTAAGCATCTTCCTCTTTTATACACCTACAGTTGCCTCAATTTCCAATTTCCAAACAGAGAAGTCACAGTAACTGATGACAAAAATTGTCATTCTTATATCAAAAGCATAGTTTCTATGATAAGAAAATAAATTACAAAGCCAGTATAAAGCAATCATTTAAACTTAACACTGTACAAATTAAGCTTATATTTAAAACAAATGTTTGCCATTTATAAAAGGAGATGGATCTAAGTTGCAAAGTTAGAATCTTTGTTGACTTTGTGTTTTAATTTAAATATAACGTGGGATCTGCTTTTAAGTAACACCTAGATAGAACAGAAACCAACTGTGGTGTTTTGAAATTTGCCGAGGGGACTATTTTAGCAGAAACCACAAAGTCATATGTAAAAGTGACATTTAAAGGACTAAGAAATAGAGATATAAATAAACAATACACTGAAGGACTGGTTGAATTTTCTAACGTGCAAGGACTTGCTTTATAATGAATGTGATAGTCAAAGCCTTTCTTCTCCCTCTTTCTCATGGACCACCTCTCTTTATAAAGTTTATATACAGAGAAAGATATCTCCAAATATTTTATGCACAATACTGCACAGAGGTTTTCACAGACTCTTGCCTAAGGCATTGCCTGTTTGTTGGCAAACTACTGCATCCAATGAAGAGTGAAGTCTTTCTTTTAAAACTGTACAGGAAAGAAGCTATGTGGAATCAGCAGAGGGTATGTCATTAGACAGAAGCTGAAAAGTAAGGCAGAGTTAGCAACATAACTACTTTAGAGTCAATATCATTTATCTTAAAGAAAAAAAAACAAAGAAGTAACAAAACACAGTCATAAGAAACACATGCTTTTGCAATTATTTGCTGCAGTCAAATGTCAGTAGAATGTTTCGGATTTTAACCCCTAAGGTGCATTTCAATTTCATCAAAACATTGAATGTTTACATTTTTGCCAACTGGAAGCAAAAAGAAGGTTTTCAAGTTTTGAATTCTCTGATGTAAAATACAAACTTGAGGAAAACCAGAATTTCATGGAAATATGTTAAAACAACAATATTACTTTGCCTTTGAAAATTCAAGTATTTCCAATCATTACAAAACTGGAATTATAAAAAAAGGTGTAAAAATATGTGTTCCATTAAACAGGTCACTACCAACCACAAGTTATGCAGAACTACGGTTTCAAGAGAACTGTTTTAAATGGGGAAACAAATAGAGCAATGAATGCTGCAGGGTTTTTTTCCCCACAGTAATTCCACAACACAAGAAAATGTCAAGATTATTACATTTATTTCTCACCTATGAGGGAAAAACTGAACATTTTTTTGTAAGACTAAAAATGCAGTTGATATTATGTTGTTCTTACAGGCCGTCAGGTTATGACATTCAATGAAAGAATATGCAAACTGAGGTAATTAATAAGTTCTAAATAGGCTAAGAACCATCTAGGTTGGTTACTATAAATCTTTTATCTGTGATAATGTTTTTTGTATCTAATTAAAAGTGTTTAAATTCATCAACTTAAAGAAATTATTGCTATTAAGTTAGTCCTGAGCCACTTCTCACTGATAACCTAAGCCAAAATCCTACTGTTTCATAACCATAGGTTTAGAGACTTAGGCTCCTATTTGTACAAAACAGAACTGAAGTAGGTTGTGTGCCTGGCCTTGCCATATTTCTTCAAAGCCCGGTTAGCACTCAAACATCCACCTACACATCAGCAGTCTGTTCCTGTGAAGCCATCTTACATGCTTCGGGGAAAACACACTGTATTGTACTAACTGGATTTCATTTTGCTGTTCTCGTGAGTGTTAATTCTAAAAAGAGTTATTTTTAAAGGGTACTGGGACACATTTTAAAAAGATGTGCTGTTGTTAGTGGAAAAGATTCAAGAAAGCTCTATCTGCTCTTGGTGCCAGGACAAACTACACAAACTAACAGAAGCCTTAAATCAGCCCTGAATAAGCAGCAATCACTGGATCTTGTCAGTTATTGGCATTTAAGTCCAGTGAGCTACAGTGGGGTGTTGCCAAATACAGAGTTTATCTGCATAAAAACCAAGGTTTTATGAACACACATGATGCAAGGTCTCAGCCTATTTCTCTTTCTGACAGCCTAATAATCTTGATTTTCTTTTAAGGCATTAGCACTACAGGCTACGTTCTATTTTGACTTATAGTTTTCATGATTTATTTATTGTCTTACCTGCTCCATGCTCAAAACAGTTTATTTTGTTTTACAAGTCATGAGCACATCTACAGGATTGCAAACTGCAGCTCAAACATGGTATGTCAAATGAATGGAAATAAAGCATACATAAAACAAGCAACAGCTTGAGACCATGCAACAACCACATAAAATACCCCTTGTGCTTCATTAAGAGTATTCTGCCATTGTAATGTCAGTATTTGCAGGGATTTCCTCTCAGGTGCATTCCCCATATACCACTTTTGCTTCCCATCTTGAAAAGCTCATTACTTCAGTGCTAGAAAAGTCAAAAGTATCAGATAATACATATGCCATAAAGACACATGCATAAGGATACACACTTATTTGAGAACAAAGGGTTCAGTAGGACTGTATATGAAAACCTCAGAACTGTAATCCTAGCAAGTATTTCAAAGAATCTTTATCTCATGTACTTGAGAGTTGCTCAGAAGTTTAATAAACACTTATAATAATTCTTACATTTTTTGTTACAACTTTATATTACTATCTAAAGTTCTTACCTTCTGTTTCAGTGAGATTTAAACGCTGATGAAAATCCCTTACTGGCAAGCCCTATAATTATAAAGCAAAACCAATGAGATTCTACTAAGTGTACTACAAACATATTATAAGCCACTACTACAATTGAAGTACTGAATGTAACATCTGCCTCACAAGTTGTCCCTGTACAGAGGGATATGGACATCTACTGGAGAGGGGCTATGAAGAATTTGCAGAAACAAACTGGTTTTGCCACAAGCAAATCTACAGCTTTGAAAACCACAGCCCAAACACACAAGATTCACAGAAGGGAAACTTCATCATAATTAAGTAAAGCATGCAAGAACTGAATTTTTTCCCCATCAAAGCTTGCTTCTGTGGCATCTTCCAGGCTCTTCAGAACTGAATATGACTTCACATAAGCAGGCTGCAAAAATGAACATACAAATATAGGCTAGTACCCACTAACCCGAGGCAAGATTTCATTTTGAAACCAACAGTACAGAACTGCCCAACTAGTGGATAAACACAGGAGACTACAGAGAGTTTCACTCTTTGAACACAACACAGCTGTCTGCCTCCGCTTTAACAATTTCAGTGCTTACCCCTGCCCTGCAAGAGCAGCCAAGGCTCACTGAGAAGGCTCTTTGTCCCACGACAGAGCATTCAGAAGGATGGCTTGTTTCTTTGGGATGTTGGGGGGTGTAAACAGGATTCCTTAAGAGGTGGTTTAGGCGTCCATGAGTTCCATTGTTCGGGGCTGGTTTCAAATCAAGTAAATCTATGAAAGAATTCAAGTGATATTAACAGGATTAGAAAGACTGTGGTACACTGCTGATTCTATTGTGATTACAAGGATGGGAGAGTCAATAAAGCTGCACTGCTTGCTGCTCATAACACCCAAAAGGGAAAACACACACGTTCTTAGCTAGGGCTTGCAATAGTATTAGTCTGCTTGTAAAGAGGAACAGAACGAGTGTAAAAAGTGACAGAGGTTGACATCAGAGGTGAAGTGAACTTCCAGCATCCAAACTTGCAGTGGGGGACAGAACGGCAACCTCAAACACATGAATCTAATGACTACATAACCATTGGAGCTCTGGGGAGTAAGTTTGGGGGATTTTTGGTTTATTGGTTTTGGATTATTTTTTTTATTTATTATATGGATATTAAATACATAAGCATCACTAAAGAGTAAAGCCATAAAAGAACCTAGGCAGAACGTAAGTTTCTGCTTATATCTAAAACATCACTTACATTTAAAATTTTAAAATTCAAAATTGTCACCAAAGTAGTCTAACCACAAATACATTTCTACCCTAAATACCTAAATCTGTCATTGAAGGAACTTAAACAACTAGAAGCTATCTAGACAAGACAGTTGCACATATCCAGTGCTTGCACTTTAAGTGCTGAGATGTTGGACAAATGGGAAACACTATCTCTGGCTGCATTTTGCAGGAAGGTGCAATCAGGCGCCTCCAGGAGAAACACTAGAGCCCCAAATGACATGTGAAAGAAGATGCATTTCTGCAGTCCAGAAGGCATTTAACCCCTGAGCAAGGAAATGGTTGAGTAAGTCACCTCACTTCATTCTCTGTCTGGAAGCTAGTGTGCTGGCTTTTGCACATCCTATTATTCTTTCTACGCAGGATAGAGGAAATCTAGACCTTAATGACTGTATGTAAAACATCTGATCTGTCACTGAACCTGCTTCACTGGGATGCCAGTTAGAACTTTACCCCTCCCATGCAGAATATGCAGGTCAGGGTCACAAGAAGGTTCAAGATCAACTGTGACATGAGAAGACAGCAAAGTATGCAAGACTGCAAGAGGCAGGCTTCCTGACAATGGCCTGTTCCCTATCCCAGCAAAGAATTTTAACACATGGTTTCAGCGTGGTATACCTGAATATCGCCACTGATCTCAAGCATGTGCAGTGCTCCCATTAAGTGCTTTCTGGATCAAACCCTTTGGTAATACTTTGTCTCTCACAGAAGCGGATGTTAGAGCAAGTATAGGTCCTGGCAAGAGAGAAAAGTAGGCAGGAAATAATGCAAAATAGGTGAAGACCCCAAGGCAAATAAATGAACAGGAAGTGGTAGAACTAGTGATAAACTTTTGGAGAAATCATGAAATACAGAACAAAGAAGGGTCAAAGGAACAAAGAGTCACAGTAACATTGTGCTTGAGGGGGGTAAAAAGGGCTACAAGGCATTGAATTTCCAGAAAGAAACACCACTTCTTTGGTGCAGTGTACTGTACAGTGTCAGAAAATAGAGCAAAGAAATCTGTGTATGGAGTGGGCTATCTGCAATCCTCAGATACAGAAGCAGGATTCATGGAACAGAAATCAAGCACAAATTCTAGAGCAACACCACAGAGGGTCAAGAAATGGGAAATCTGACTGTTACAGAAACGGCTAGCTCTAGAGCAAGACTCCAAAGCAATGGGAGTAAAGACTAACAAGACAGTTGCAGTCCATCAAAAGATCAAAAAAGTGTATTTGAAAGTCCTGTTAAATTAGGCAACAAAAATGGACAGGGAAAAAAACAAATCTAGTATTAAAAGGTACAATACATAAACTGAACATCTGAAACATACAATGATGAGTCTGGGAGGAGGTTTATTAACAAAAAATCTGAAAAAAATTTATCTGAACTAAAAACTTATAACTAAATTAACTAAAATTAAAAATATTGTAAAAGGAAAACAACAGATAAGAAAACACATGACAAAAATATAAGGAATTGTTCAAGTTCAAGTGCATAAAAAGCATTTGGCTGGCTCAGGTTTTCTGGAAATGAGCTGCCTGGCAGCTGCATCCATATCCATTACTAGGCTTGATACTTATTGTTCTGTCTGAATAAGGTCACCTGAGTGATTCATCTGATAAAGGCTCTAGCTAGATGTGAGAGAGAAATATTCATTCTTCTTGATGGTAAAGAGGTTGTGAAGTAGTCAGTTTTAGCAGTGGTGAGTCAAAGCACCAGCTCTGGAGCAGCCAGAGGAGTACACAGGATGACCAATGGAAACGAGAGAAGTAAGGTGGCCTGACCATTAGATCCTAAACAGCCGTTAGTCATTTAGGAAGCTGGAACTTTCTCAGAAAAACAAGCAGCTTTTTATTTGTGAAAATGAGCAGTGAATTTTAAGGACAACCTTCTAAGGGCACTTAAAAACCTGTTATTAGAAGATTTACAATGCCCAAAAGACATTATGTTTTACTGAATAAAGATGACCCCCATCAACTGTACTTACCACACATTAAATTATATACTTCGATGTTTTCAAATGGATCAACTTTAGTATGAAACTTGAATCCTGGTCCAAACCCAATAAAGATAGCCTAGGATTTACAGAGGAAAAAAAAGTGGAACTCTGTTTAGGACAAGTTGAAATGGAAAATATCTTCATACTCAGAGGGCATTTTCTGCCACGAACCTAATCTTTAACAACATAGTATGGATCAAGTCAAAAACAATTTTGTCTTAAAAAAGTAAACGTGTAAGAATATCTTTTTATAGTAGTAAGAGTATCAGGAAACCTGATTTTGTCTCATTGCTTTTGAAAATTTGCCATCAGCCATTTATGATGTACCTTGCTCTTCCCTGATTTTGAAGAAGTTAAATTCTTTTTCTTAAATGCTTTAAGGAATTTAATAAACAGAAAATGTTGAGCCAAAATAGCCATCACATTTCATGCCCTATAAACAATGTGGAAGCTTTTGACTTAAGGCTATAAAAACATCTGTTGGTAGCAATGCTTTAAATGGTATAAGCAATGGCAAGATCCTAGGCTTCTATGCCTGGTTTGCAGCTGTTCTTTCTTCTTGCACCACTTCCCGAGCTGTATTGGCACAAACTGTTGTGTAACCATACAGCAAACCTGACCCAGGAACACAGCCAGCTAAAAAAAAACCTCTTCTTTCCTGCTGCCTCTTTTCCTTCTGATTCAGTTCCCCAACCTACTTACCACTGCAGCCACACAAAGCTCACACCCTCATAAAGGAGGGTTTGCTGCAGGAGTAAGAACAAGGAGGCAAGGGAAGCAACTGCTTAACTCAACTGCTGCCAAAAAAACCCTGCTTTTAAACTTACCCTTAGATATTCATCTTATTTGTGGTATCAAGATACTGAATGAGTGAGTGATGCTTTGCACTCCATAACATCTTCCTGTATAAGATCTCAAAGTTCTTTCCAATGCAATTGTCTCAGACTTCATAGCTGTATGGCAAAAATAGAGGCTAAAGCCTCTAACTTCTTTTTTTGAGATTAAAGCATAATTCAAGCTGACGTTCTGCAAATGTTGATACCGTAGGCTAATAATTTACTTGACAAGCCTAATTTGAACCAGCTGTTGAACTAGATAATTACAGAGCATGAAATTCATGCTGCTACAGCGTTAGCCACAAAAGGATAAATTATATTTGGTTTAAGACCAATTGGGGTTTTTATGACCTGACAATCCCAAGCCTGGCAAGAAGTTTGAATAGAGTCAACCTACCAGAAAAAAAGTTACACAAGTCAAACTGTAGAAGAGAGAATATGCTAAAGCTGGCATTTAGCATCACATGGCCTTGCTGGTTGTAACCCATTACCAGGTGCCCTATCAACAGGTTTTTCATTGTCAAATCAGGGAAGAAGAGTACCACTGGAAGGGTAAACCGAAACAAAATTGGCACTGCTTTTGGCTAGCAGTTTGATGCAAACACTACATAATTCTACAAGACACTTAAGAGAAATCTATGCTTTACATAGACTATGTAGGTTTCTTCCTAAAAGTTGTTTTCAGTAATTTTTTTTAATTCAGGGTTCTCTATCTATAGATGTGTTTACACATATTCACTGTAATAGTACCAAGTACCTCATAACTATTAGCAGACTTCATCCTGAAAAACAGCTTTCTCAAATAAAAAGTATTGCTTTTCATGTTTTCGTGTAGACCTCATAGCAGCCTTCCAATATCTGAAGGGGGCCAACAAGGATGCTGGGGAGGGACTCTTCATTAGGGACTGTAGTGGTAGGACAAGGGTAATGGCTTTAAACTTAAACAGGGGAAGTTTAGGTTAGATATAAGGAAGAAGTTCTTCACAGTGAGGGTGATGAGGCACTGGAATAGGTTGCCCAAGGAAGTTGTGAATGCTCCAACCCTGGAGGTGTTCAAGGCCAGGCTGGACAGAGCCTTGGACAATATAGTTTAGTGTGTGGTGTCCCTGCTCATGGCAGGGGGGTTGGAACTAGGTGATCTTAAGGTCCTTTCCAACCCTAACTATTCTATGATTCTATGTTATTGATAGCAGAAACTAAAGCAGAGGATAGGTTGACTTCCCCAAATTAGATGGAGCTGCCTAAGAACCTAATTTCATGTTCCCTATGATGTCTCCACAGTTCTCATTAAAGAGAAGAATTTCAGGACTCTCCTTATTTTAAGCAACTGACATGCTCTCTCCTGTTCCTCAGAACAGCAATGCATAATCTATCATGACACAGCAGAATTATGGAGTTGGGAGATAATTTAGTGAACTTTTGCAAAAAACTGGATCAAAAGTAATTATGTATTTTCTGAAAGATGCTTGTCTGACCAGTTGTTAAGTAATTCCTTTGGTGGAAGCTCCACAGACTTCCAGGCCAAACTGTTGTACTCGTTAATGGTTTTTAAAAAAAA